GTCAGTGGTATGCATCTTATCAAATATACAAGCAAACATAAATAATTTCAGAATACTTGTGTATAGATTCAATCTATGTAACATTCTGGTTACATAACTTCATTAAGAGTATATTGAATATTCAGAGCTGATTTATAATCAAAAGATCATGAATTTATCCAAAAATCAACGAGATTATTTAATAGATCAATCTTTTAAAGATACTCACTAGATAATTCTTATGCAATTATGATACTGGTCAACAGGACCAGTCCTTCAAGGATAACCAAATCTAGGTCGATATTTAAATTCATTAGTGATATTTTTAATTATATAATCCTTCAGGGAAACTCAAATCTATAGGCATAAAATTCAACGGGATATTTGCTCTATAATTCATGACAAAATGATAAAATAACTACATGCATACCATTCATTAGGTTCATTAGTCAGTTAGACTAAAGTTCAAGATATTCAAATTGATTTAGGCTCAACACATCCATACTTAATGCATAAAACAACATAACAAAATATGCAACTATAATTTCCAAACTAAATTTCTGTCATAATTACATATTTTGATAGCTTCACCACATATATTCAAGCAACATACACTGTTCGCATGTTAAAATTAATCACATATGCTTCATGCGTAATCAGATTCATGGACAAAATAATAAAATATGTGGGAATTTTTTATTTTATAACTCTTCAGGAGTATAACAATTGAAGTATGAGAAATTTTATTCTATAAGTTAAATAATATTTTTCCTCCATCATCGAAAATAATCGTTATCTAGAGGATAATGTCTACTGGACATATCTCACGTGTCTTACCACTTTCAAATCCTAGCAAGTAATTAATGTCAAGAATAATAGGATACATATCAAACAAGATATGCTCATATACAAAGAATGACGATTAAATCAAGGAAATATATAGTGTTATAGAAAATATAGATTTTTTTTTTTCTACATGTCTCATATAAAAAAAAAAAATTATACTTTTGTACGTATGCTTCTGACACTAATACAATCTCAATGAACTATTTTTATATCAGTATTCTTAATATATTATGTCCATGAGTATTGATTTGGATGAATTTTATTATTCTCATGTATTACTTCAGGAATACAAACTGTTTGTAACAAATTATAAAATATTCGATAGCATCTTAACTCAAAATTAGTCATGAAGACTTACTCACGGTGTAACCACTATTTTATTTTGATATTTATATCGGTGTTTATCCTTCGGGGAGTATATAAAAACATTATTATTAACTTATAGAAGATCCTTCAGGGAATATATAAGAAATTCATTGTCAACTTACATGCTATCGATAAATGAAATATTGATTTCCATCTTATAGATACCCGATGCATTGTTATAATCATTCTATCCATATTTGTTTAATATTAGTGTCCTTCTGGGACTACTAGTATTCAATCGAATCTTATATATTTGGATAGATATAAATATTTTTGAAATAATACTCCATCATTTTCATAATTGCACAATTTTATCTTCTCATCCAACCATATTATAAATATGGTAATAATTGAGCTATGTAGCATCCAACCAAATCATTACTGAAATTGAATCCCAAGACAGTTTCAATTAAAATTTGAGTAAGGATTTAATTAGCTTCCTGAACAAAATAAATCATATACAAACTCTCATCAATTATTCAATGGGAAGGAGACATTCAGATAAATTTCCACTCCAACAATCAAATTCCAAGGGCCGAGGCGTGGGAAGAAAAATAGTAAGAACATGAATATATGTGCAAACAAGATGGTTAAACCGTTCAAGAACCTAATGCACAATGACAATATGCATGTCCCGAGAAGCACTTACAGAATTTTAATATTACCATCAAATAATTCTAAACATGCGTCTAAAATCAATTGATCCATCTCCAATTATGGACACCACGTTTTCTCTCTCCATAACCAAAAAACAGATGATAAATATATAGTATAGTTTTTATTCCTAACTTTTATTTTGACATAAATCTTTTCCGATAAACATGAATATATATGACATAAAAAGTCCAATGGTCCCAGCCCCCAGGCCCTCTCTCTTTGTAATTTGTACTCTCACTTTAAATTCCTCTGCATCAAGTTTCTCAGACACATTCAATGGTTAAACATAAGTGGGCCTAAATTTAATCTTCTGCAGGTTAATTTTTTTTTTTTTTCGCCCAATTTTATTAATATATATAATGCTTCATTATGAATTTGTGACAGGCGAAAATTGTAAAAAAAAGTGAATAAATTAATTAAATATGATGACGCTAAATGTGTACGTACATCTCTCTAAACAAACAGCAAAACAGATATTTCACGAAACACGAAGCATCATAAAGGTGTCTGCAAGACAGATGATAGTTTTCCTTTCTTTATTTCTTTATTCCAAATTCTTTTCTTAATTCTAGTTTAATTAACATCAAATAATTTTACCTAAACTTAAACATAATCAGCAAATTTGGTCCATAAAAATTCAATTCAAAATCAAATAGCTATGAAACCAAGAAGATAGGATGTACCTTGCGCGAAAGACAGATTCTTTCCTATGGCAAACACCAATAGGGTAAACACGAAAATTGTAGATTAGAGCGTACCTTGATTACCCGTTCGTCTTGATGTCGCAACCATAAGCTTAGATGGTAGAGTACTCGTGCTGATAACGTGTTGTAATATAGATTGATAATATGTAAAATCTATGTGTAAAATAGACAAAGATAGAAACAATAGAAGAAGAAGAGAATAAGAGAGAAGAGATACGCCGTCAAAACCATCATCTTATTTATTCACTTGAGCCCTATATATAAGGGAATATAATGTACATGAGTAAATACCTAATGGGCTCCTGGCCCATGCCTACAAATCCTATATCTAGGTAATGTCCACAACTTAATATTTACAACAATAATCAATTTAACATATGATAATAAAAATATTGGTCACAAATACGAAAATTATTAATTATAAAACAGATTTATAATTTAAATTTAAAAGAAAATATTTATTTATTTATAATTTTAAAAGTCTGCATGGATAACATGAATTGACATGATTATGAAAGGCCCAATAACATGAATTATAGAAGTTGGACGCCTTGGTGTGGAAAACTCTTACATTATACATAAAGATGGATGAGTAGACTGACAAAAGTGAATCACTAGTCCTTTTTTTTTTTTCCTGAAATTTCATGATCTTTTCTAGCAGTGAAAAACGAAAGAGAAAAATCTTCCTTCCAGGACCCAAAAAAAAAAAAAATAAATAAATAAAATAAAATAGCAGTCAGTGTCAAAGAATATGTGTTGTTTTTGCCTTTTCTGATATGTGTTTGTGAGGGCCATGGTCTCGCTCTCTCTCTCTGTGCACTATCAATGGCGTTTGACGGTTTGAGAACTCAGCATTTGGACTTTATTCCCTGCAGAAAGGTCAATTGGAACAGTCATGAGAATAGTGGAAAAAAGAAAGCGTCCGAACATAAAGATATCGTGTTCGGCCTGAGATCAACAATCAATGGGTGGAAGAAAACCAACAATCAACAGAAACATATACGAATTATCCTCATATTTTTATTTTATCTTTATTCTCCCCTAAAAAATAGTGACACTATTTGTTGCAGAGTGCTAAGAGTTGTTTACTGAAACATTGGCAAACTCAAAGTTGTTTCATAAAACATTGAACCAATTGGCAAACTCTATGCTCTCAGACTTGCCTACACTACTAAAAAGTATTTATATATCAACCATTTTGGAGCTCAATTGTAACAAGTTTCGTGTTTTGAAGCAGCTGCATATTTTAGATCCAAGTGGAAACAAGAGTGTCATCAACATGAACACATAAATGAAAAGACGAGTAGCTTTAGTATTATGTCAATTCTATGAAAATAGCCGCACCAAACTCGGTTAATGTGGAAAGGTAGTTACAAAACACAGACAGCACAACACCTTAGGAATGCCATTGCTACAAA